AAAAAAAAAATTAGAAGTAAACTATTGGTTCCCTTTCCACCCTTTTAAAATTTGACTTATGGCTGGGGATTTAGCTCAGTGGGTATGTTGCCTGCCCTCGCAAGTTCCTGAGTTTGAGCCCTGGTACAAAACAAACAAAAAAACCCCACAAAATCTTCTGTCCTTCTCCTAGGTTACTGAGATTACTAATTGTATTTTTCTGGTTTGTGTTCACACTTTTCTCTAGACATATAGCCATAAACAATAGATACTATCATTTTATATTTCCAAATTTATAGAAATGCTAACATACCTATATAATTTGTCAGCTAGCTTTTTTTTCTTTTTTCTCATTCAATATTTATTTATAGGGCTAGGGATGTAATTCAGGTGTAGAGGGTATGCAGGAAGCGCTAGGTTTGATTCCCTGCATAAATAAATAAATGAAATAAATAAAAAATAATACATCTAAGCTCACCCACAGAAATCTAGTTCAAGCCAGATGTGGTTGCACATGCCTGCAATCCCAGCACTCAAGAGGCTGAGGCAAGAGGATTGTCATGAGGCCTGCCCGAGGCCTACCTGTGCTGTGTAGTGAATTCAGGGCTAGCCTGAACTACAAAGGGAGACCTTGACTTAAAAATCAATCAGTCAATCAATCAATTAATCAACCAATCTAGCTCATTTCTGTTGACCACTGTAGAGTAGTGCAAGTATGAAGGCACCATGTTTAATCTACTCCCCTCTTCATGGATATTTAGGTTAGTCACAGTTTTGTCTTTTTACTTAGAATCAGTGCCACTGTTAGCACCCACATGTAAGAGTTTCCCCCAGGTTATTTAACCAAGAGTGGAACTACTGGTCAGAGAGACAGCTTTGACTTTCTGAATCTCCAGAGAGAATTTCAACTCCCACATGTGGGCAGACACCCCGGCCCCACTCAATTTCTGGGGAGCTTAATTTGTGTTTTGCTGGCTTTTTGTGGACAGGGTGATTCTTGCCCTTCCCCCCTGAGCAATGGCTCTGTCGGAGGCTGACACAGAAGGAAGAAAGGAATTGTTTGAGTCCAGTCACAACACCAGCAAACACCCGGCCCACTTCATTCAAGTCTGACAATGAGACAGGGGCTAAACCTTAGCCAGCATAACAGAGGGTATGCGTCTCACAGGGGCAGCAGGAGAGCCAGCTTTGGAGGGGTGCCGGAATTGCCCTGAAACTGAACACTGGAATCTGGTGAGCCTCTCGCAAAGCCCTTTCCTGGGACTTAACACTGATAGCTGGGACGGGAGACTCGTAAAGTCAAGGTTCCCCTGTTACCACATCTCCTGCTGATGCTGGGACCAGGTCAGGCTTGTCAGGTGACCCCAGGTTTCTGCCTAGGCCACTATTTAATTGCCTCATTGGAGTTTAGGCCACTGCGGGGAAAATTTCTCACATTTCATGGCATAGTTAGAAATCATACTTTGGAGCCAGCTGATTCATGTCTCAGAGCCACTTGCTCACTGGAGGATATGAGAGAATCTGTCTAGCTGCCCTGGGAATTTTGTTTTCATCTCTGTTTTCCTTAACAATGACTTGCTGTCACTTTCATTCAGCCTGTTCGGTTGCTGGTACTGAGTTAAGTGAACAGGAAGTATTCAACTGCCCTCATTTTCCCCTTGATAGATTGTTTCTAAATGATTGATGTTTATCCTTGTAACTTTTTTCTAGAAAAAAAAAATCAACTATCAAAACAGAGAACCTACCAGACCTCGGGGACCAGAGGGTACACCATAGTAAAATAACACGTGACTGTCCTCACCCTCTCACGTAAGACACTACCTTAAGGGACAGCCAAGGGCAATTGCACTCACCTTTGGAAGGAATCACAGTGGTGAAAACTTCTATATTTTCATCACTGCAGCTGTAAATCTGATGCATCGTTTCAGCCTTCTCTCCCTCACACGCCTGGGAACCCGCAACCTCTCTCTGGACCTCTAGTCGCGAGGTTTCCTAATCCAGCCTGGCTCTCGAATCATTGTGTAGGTCCACAAAAGACAGGCTGGGCTCTGGAGCGTGAGCTCATCTCATTCCACAGTCTTCACTGCAACATTTTCTAATCCCATCTGTCCCTTTTTCTTTTTTTTTTTTTTTTTTTTAAATTTTTATGAATCCTTTTATTGCAAACCTTTGCTTGAGCGTGGAGGCTTCCGTCCCCTCTCAGCTAGGATGTACTTCACGTTTTACTTCGCGGTGTCTGCTGCAGTGGATTTGGAAGTCTTTTGTGAAGTGACGGTGAAGTGAAATCGCCTACTCTGTTAGCACTCAGCTTGGCTGGAGAATTTCACCAAAAAGGAAAAGTGAATTTTGGTGCCAGTTCATTCTCTTCTCATTTCAGAAATAAAGGATTTTACCCCACCCCCTACTGGATATTCAGTTGTCATGTGTTAACTTGGCTCCCTTCAAAATTTCTATTTTAAACAAAAGGACTGTTTCTTCAGAGCATTTTTACCTCATGCCACAGTGTGACAAGGCTGACATTTCTGGAATCATGTGTTTAGTGTCTCCTTGTACAACCCTTCAGGTACATAGAGACAAGTAACGGGCAGGGCCTCACAGCCAGGAGCCCAGTTATAATTATATTTTTATTATCATATATTCTATACCTTTATCCCATATGCTTATTATTTTATATATCTTATTACATATACATGTTATATACTGTTCAACATAGCCTATCTATCCTATTTTCCCTGTATTCTCCTCTCTCTTGCTCTCTTCATAGGTTATAGTTGGAATGTGTGTATCATGTCAAACCCACTGCCTTTTATACACTATTACCACTTTACTTCTTAATAATACTAATGGTGATGTAATGATATTAATAACAATAATTGCCCCTTATTAAATGCTTGCAGTGAGCTAGGTAGTCTAATATATAATCTCATGTAATATATACAGCTGCCCAATGAGACTGTTAGTTTTGCTACATGATAGGTAAGAAAATGGCGTAAAGAGATGAGTAACTGGGGCCAGGGATTTAGCTCAGTGGTTCGGTGGCCTGCCTTGCAAGCACAAGGACCTGAGTTCAATCCCCCGTACAAAAAAAAAAAAAAAAAAAAAAAAAAGAGAGAGATGAGTAACTGTCCCTAGATTAAAACAGATAATTTGTGGCAGAATTAGGGAAAAACATTTGCTCTCAAAACTAATACATGTAACCCCTAAATCTTTACATGTGAAGTCTTGTCCTTATTCCACACGTGGGTGGACCTAATCCATATTTTAGATGTGGAGATGTTGTTCGTTGCTATTTCTGTAGTAGATAAATTTGGGGCTTTTCTTCCTCAGGTAATTATCAATGTCATATCCCATTTTCTGAGAATTACACCTAGCCATAGGACGTGGTTCTGGCTTGTTCTGCCTTGACTTGACATTTTGGCTGCATCTGACTGGACTAGGACAGACTTCTAACTTAAACAGCAGCCTCCTGGAAACTGAAACTGGGCTTTGGTTTCTGTCCAGAGAAAAGGTGTAAACTCTGAATTTGAGGTAAAGTTGAGGGGAAGCCAGTAGAAATACTCTATGTAGGACTGGTGGTCAGGAAGGTGCCTGGGCCCTGAAGACAAATCCAGGATAAAGAGTTTTAGCTGTGGGGAGGGCCAATGCTTACACCAAGGCCCACATTTGGTGGACATATGGCCGTTCACACGCACACACACACACTCATGAGGGCTGGGGGAGGATGGAGAGATTGGGGGTGAGGTTAGTGTCGGGAGGAATGAGAGGCAGAAGAGGGAGGATTGAGATGGAGAACAAAGAGACAGAGATAAGAAAGAGAGAAAGTAGTGTCTATTTCCACGTTGTTTCTCTCAAGCCTTGTGTCACTCTTATCTTCGGGTCAGTGAGATATCTTGTCTCCATCTGACAAATTTCCTTTTGGCTTAAGTTTAAGTAGGGCTCATTTTCAACTAAAAAAACTATCTGGAAGACTTCTTTGTGTCTATTGTCTAGAAATTTTATGACCTTCACAGTGATTAAACTGTTAGATCATGTAAAACCTAAAGGAGTATCTAGTACAATAGAAGCAAAGATCCAAAATTATGTTAATGGAGTAGAATGCTAAATTCCAAACTACAAGATGAAATTCAGCAAAACTAAATTAAACACCTGGCCTTACATTTTTTTCCTCATTCAGTTTATTGGTACATTTTAGTACCAATATACAGTATTATACAGTACAGTTATATTCATCATTGGGATCTTGTACCTTTACATGACAGGTCTTGGTTCTCATCTTTTCCCCTTACCCCACCCTCCCTTCACCCACTCCTCCCTTCCCTATTTACTAAAACTTTATTTCCATTTTTTCATTTTCTCATTTTTTTTCTTCTCCCTTATTTCCTTTTCCCTAACCTTCCCACTTCCCCTACACATTTATCCCTTTTCTTCCTATTTCACATTGTCAATTATACCATTAGGATCTTATTTACGATTATAGTTTTTCACACCAGAGAAACTATTCAGTATTTACACATATGTGACTTATTTATTTCACTTAAGAGTATAGCCTCAATATGCATTCACTTTCCTATGAATGACTCTAATTTATTATTCTTTATGGCTGAGTAGTATTCCATTTTATAGAAAAACCACATCTTCTTTATCCAGTCTCCAACTGATGGGCAAATAGGCTGCTTCCAAGTTTTAGCTATTAAAACTGTGTTGCTATAAACATAGGTGCGCATATATCACTGTGATATGATTCTTTTAATTCTTTTGGAAAGATACCCAGCAGAGGGATGTCTGGGTCAAATGGAACCTCTAGTCCCAGCTCTTTGAGATATCTCCATATTGATTTCCATAGTAGTTGCACCAGTCTGCACTCCCACCAACAATGGAGAAGGGTTCTTTTCGCCCCACAACCCCACCAACTTATTATCTGATTTATTGGTAGCAGCCATTCTTTGTGGGGTGAGGTGGAATCTCAATGTTGTTTTCATCTGCATCTCTCAAATGGCCAGTGATAGGGAACATTTTTTCATATATTTACTTGCTGCTTTTACTTCTTTGTCTGAGAAATGTCTGTTCATTTAGGATGCCCATTTTTGAATTGGGTCATTATATTTGGAGGGCTGATTTGTTTGAGTTCTTTATGTATTCTAGATAATAGTCCTTCATCTGAGGAGGAGCTGGTAAAAATTCTTTCCCACATTGTAGGTTGTCTCTTAGTTCTGTTGATGGTTTCTTTTGCAGTGCAGAAGGTTTTTCATAAGATGAGATCCCAGTTGTTGATTCTTTGTGCTAGTTCCTGTGCTACTGATGATTTGTTCATAAAATCTTTCCCTTTGCCAATGTCTTCCAGAGTTCTGCCTAACTTATCTTCCAGCAAATTTAGTGTCTGTTTTTTAATATTTAGATCTTTAATTCGTTTGGATTTTAGTTTAGTGCATGGTGAAAGATAAGGTTCTAGTTTTAATTTTTGGCAGGTTGAAATCCAGTTTTTCCAACACCATTTATTAAAGAGGCTATCTTTCCTCCAGTGGGGATGGTTGGCTCCTTTGTCAAAGATGAGGTAGCTGAGTACATCTGGAGTTGTTTTGGTATCTTCCAATCTATTCCACTGATCCTCAGGTCTGTTTCTTTGCCAGTACCATGCTGTTTTAATCACAGTGACTTTGTCGTGTAGTTTCAAATTAGGAATTATTATACCTGCTGCCATGTCTCTGTTGCCTAGGATGGCTTTTGCTATGCTAAGTTTCTTCTGGTTCCAAATGAATTTTTGGATTTTTTTTCTAGTTCTGTGAAATATACTGTTGGAATTTCTATTGGCATTTCATTGAATCTGTATTGCAGTTTTGGTAGTATCTAGCCTTACATTTTTAAAAAAGATAATTGATCCGGTAAATAATTAGGGTGATCTGGTTGAGCAGCTATTTATTTGTTTGTTTATTTTTGTGTTACTGGGGATTGAAGCCAGAGTCTTCACACTGAGTTACATCCCCAACCCTTTTAAAGCTTATTTTGAGATAGAGTCTTGCTAATTTGCCTAGGTGGAGCTCAAACTCATCCTGCTTCCTGCCTTAGCCTCCCTGTGATTGCAAGCATACACCACCATTCCTAGCTAAGAAGCAATTTATTAAAAAGAAGTCTTGGAGCTGGAAGCTGGGTGTAGTGGCCCTTGCTTGTAATCCCAGCTACTCTGGATCCTGAGGCAGAAGGATCAAGAGGTTAAGGCTAGTTTGGGTGATCCATCTCAAAAACAACCACAAAGACAAAGCAAACAAACCAAAAGAAAGACAGACAGATACGAAGAAAGGAAGGAAGGAAGGAAGAAAGAAGAAAGAAAGAAAGAAAGAAAGAAAGAAAGAAAGAAAGAAAGAAAGAAAAAAAAAGATAATACAAGAAAGAAAAGAAATCTGGGGTTTTACAGATATTAGCCAAGTATAGTGGTACATACTTGTAATCCCAGCACTTTGGGAGGCTGAGGCAGAAGGAGCCCTACCTGAGCAAATTTGAGAGACTCTGTACCAAAATAAAGAATAAAAAAGGGCTGGGAATATAGTTTAGTGTGGAGACCCTGAGTTCAATACTCAGTGCCATAATAAACAAAGGAATAACAAATAAAATATTGGTATTTATTTATTTAGAGAGAGAGAAATAAAGGAAAGGTGCTAAGAGATGCAAATGAAATTTCCAGGATTTTCTACTAAATTGAAATTAAGAACGCTTTGGGAATATCAAAAGGCAACCAGGATTATCTGGATTTAATTTCGAGGAGTCCAGATTGGTGAGGTTTTATCTAAGAAAGCCCAAACCTAATAAATTATACTATATTTTATTATTTCTAATCAGTGAGCCTGAAATACATAACTAAATGGACAGATGTAAGGAAACATACTCAGAGAAAAATATTTCTTAAGAAGTAATTTTTATCTGTTTGAAATATGTTTAAAACAATAAAAGTAATAATGTGGTTGTCAAAACAAATTTTTAAAATTATGGGAAGTTGAGCAGAAAAAATGAAACTGAATTTCCCCAACACAATCTCACTTCCTAAAAGTGCAAATTGGTAGGTATATTTGTAGATTTTTATGCTTATTCATAAATATACTTATGTATATGC